TTCTGTTCATGAATACCTCCATTTTAGCAGGCAAGCATATGTCTACACCTTAACACCTTCACACTGCAAGATAGAAAGGGCCAGGAAAATGACAAGAGCTTCCCATCCTCATCCCTTAGGAATGTCTAGTCTTTTTCTGAGCATTGAGCTCCTCGAACCTGGGATTCTGGCAGAGCCAAGTCTTTTGGTGTGCTTGGGTGGTTTGAGTTTTTAAGGGCCTTTTCTAATCCATCTCTTGTTGACACTACAAGTCTGTAAGCATGCCTTCCTAGACAGACAAATGAGGGTTAAATTTTTATATCATAACCATAAAACCATATTAGAATTTCAAGTTTCCCTTCTTTTGTACACATAATGGTAATAATTCTGTCTAATGATGGCAGTGGTCACAGCAATCCTTATTCTTAGCAGGAGGAAATCATGCCATTTCTTTGCATGTAAAACTTCCATTATTTGGATGGGATTCCTGTGACATAGGTCATTATATCTGTAATACGTATTTATAGTTGTTTAAAGACCTGAATAGTTTGTGGAATAAATTCTGATGCAATATAGCCAGGAGCCCTGTGAATTTTCATCATGCTATTGATTAAAAAGCCCACTATTACATAGTGAGGATAAGGGAAAGAATTGGAAACTAGGTCAAAATTCCTTTTACTCTGTATAAATATTTCACATTTGTTATAAAAAAAAAATCTTTGCTTATTTTTTTCTTCAAGATAATCTCTGCCTTTGTTTCAAAAAGGTTATTGATTGGATTGTTAACTTAAATAGTCTGTGGCGGGTGTGACAGAGCACATGACTGCAATTAATCTTGTGATGCAGAATCCATTATTGAAAAAGCACTAATGAGCCATTCTAAGGCCTTCACTGGACACAAGAATGCCTGGGAGCAGCAGATTCCTCCTGCCCTTTAATGTCAGTTTTGGTCTTTAATGTTATACAGCCAGTGTAAGCAGAAGAGATTTTTATATTTTTTTAGGGTATTTCTTTTAAAATTATCTTTCCCATCAGCCTGCAATTGCACCAGGTGCAGGAGACAAGAATTGGTCTCTGAATGTGCTCACCTCCCCACTCCTCTGAGCAGATGTCTGGTAAGCATAGTGTACAATGAAAAGCAGTGGCATGTGAAACACGGATGTCACTATAAAATATGGTCTCAGTTGCAGAGTTCAGATCCAGAGGAGAGTTTCGACAAAGATGAGGGAGCTTTCAAACATGATCTACACTTTAAAATATTGTTTTAAGACAAAGGGATGAGCTGTTGGAAACCTCACTGCAAGTTTTATTGTCTATGTTGTTTATAGCTATTGCAGCATAGCAAAAGTTTAGGTAGAGAATAGTTATGGTAGATTAGAAACTGTCAATGTTAATATATTGCCTTCTCCTTCAACAGAACTGCTCCCAGAGTGTGTTTTAGAGGTCTGTCTATTGACTTTGGTGACACCATAAATATGTGTTACTTCTTCCTCTTATTAGATCTGTGGAGCTGATACCTACTTGCAAGAGTGATCCAGGGTTTCCCAGGGCTGAGCCACCACCTGAATTATTAACTGAGTTCTAGCTGCAGATTCTTTGCTGCACACCTTTGCCATAGCAAATGCTGTTTATCACAAGTTTAGGTGAAATAAGACTGTTTCTTCATCTTAACCACATAAGTGATGAACTTAAGCAAGAAGATTCTCAGCTCTCCGGCTTGTGCACTACCATAGTGTTTGTAACTTGAACCATATTTTGGACTGCTCTTCGTGTAAAAGAAAATTGTTTGTGGGCTGAACTGGCCTTTAAAAAAACAAAACAAAACAAAACAAAACAATACAAAAAACTAAGAAAAGGAATTTGAATTTACCTATTCTAGCTTGCCACATGCAGCTACAGGGGGCTTTGTGTTTAGGTATTCTGACACAGAGGGAATGCTAAGAAGTTCTGTGATATGGAGCAGGGATGATGTTCACTAACATTGCCTCAGGAAGTCTTAGATGTGTGAATTTTCTCATAGGATGTAAAACACTGGGTTTTGGCAAAAGGAGCAGGAATATAGAGAGATTGTGAAAAAGGAGAGCAGGGAGGGAAGGAAAAAGAATTTTAATGTATCTACTGGCATGCTTACCATACGTTACAGTGCCTCATCATGCTGCTGGCATAAGTAAAAAATAGTGTTTCCAATGACATTACGTTAGGGTCATGGGACCACAAGGGATGCTGCTTAATGTAAAAAAGGATCTGACTTAGAGGCCCAAGAAAGACATGTCCACTAGATATTCTTTTTACCTTACACATGGCATAAGCCCTGGATTAACAAAGACCAATCTGCAGCTATGCAGACACTACTCTTGTAGTTGCAGCAGTGGGAGACAGAGCCTAATGGAGTGAATAAATTGCTATATTTTTGCAAAATATTTCTTCATTTCTAGTAAAAAGAAACCACTGTGGCCCTTGCTCTACTATTAATATTTTCTAAGGAATCCTCAGTACGCAAGAGACCCTTTCTTTTAGGCTTCTGGTAGGTGAGGTTCTTAAGAAGTGCTCTGCAAAATAGGATGGATCACTCCAAGGATGAGGCACTATCAATAGACATGCAGCACAGAATACCTGCAGAGGTGTTTTTGAGGCAAATGAGTAACAAGGCAGTCAAGACAGATAACTGGAAGAGAGCAGGAATGGCTGCAAAGGGACATGGATAAAGTAGCGAACAGAACCTGACCTTTGTCTTGTGTGAGAAAAGGGGGTCTTTAGCTGGAATCTCTGCAATGAGAAATGTGTGTACACAAGCAAATGAGCATGTGAAGATGTGTACACATTTAGCTGTGATTTATTTCCTTAAGTTTGGTTCCATTCTTTCTGTTTCTTTTCAAATGTGACTGAAGCTATTTAACTCTGATTAACTCACCTCCCTGTATGAGTTGCTTTCTGTGATATATTACAGCAATGTACAACATTTCTGGAAGCAACTCTGATGCTGGGATGAATTCCCCCCCAATATGTAGTGTGGCCCATTTGTTCTATTTACTGGTGTTGGAATAAGGTTTGCATTCACTGTAAATCAGATCTGGAGGAGCATTTCAGTGTCATGTCAGGTTCTGCTAGCTTAGTAGTATCAGGAATTATATGAGGTCCTCTCAGGAAGAAAAGGTATCTTGTCAAATCTCCTTTTGCATAGTTGCTGTTTCAAGCTCCCCAGAACTTTAGTTTGGATTTGGTTCACTATAACTCTCAGTAAAATCTGATACTTGTTTTGTGTTGATATTTCAAGGGCTCCAAAACCCGATGATCTTCTTAGCCCATCTGAGCTCATCAGCATTGTCAAGACATTTCTTTATTCAAAGGCTTAAGAGTGATACAAGCAATGTCATTGATCCTTCCCTCCTTAAACATCTCCTTTGTTTTCTATTCCATTTCCTTAATAACTTACGTATACACATTTCTTTGCTGGACAGGCTTAGTTTTCATACCGAAACTGTGCAAATATAACTGGAGAACAAAAATCCTTATTACAGCATTTGGTAGTACCATGAACACATAAAAGAAATATATTGCCCACAGCATTATTGCCTTATCCAGCAATTCTCAGCAACTGTTTGCTTCACTAGCTGGAAAATACAGAAACTTCTTGTAGGGTGGTGATGGGTGGTGTGATGACACAGCAAAATATTGCTGATAGGTCTAGTAATGAAGATGGCACATCTGTGCCCACATCTACCACAGACATGCCTTTTTTTCTTATTGGAGAAACAGCCTTTCTTTCTCCATTCTTAAAAAGGCACTTAGGCTGGTGGAAGGTGAAAAGATTTTTTCATACCCTGTAGTCTAAGAACAGCAGATTGGCTGGAGGTGAAAAAACCCTGTGCGCCTGACTGTGTGAGTTTCTAGAAGTAAGAGGCAGCAGTGCTGGATGTGTATACCTGTATTTCTAGTTTTTCTCCAGATGAGCAGTTGACTATCCCTGTCATGACTATGCACAGCGTTAATGCTTTCTTGTATCAGAGAGGGATGCCAAATATGTGGTTTTCCACCAGTAGCTTATTGCAGGTGATTTAGGCAATGTCTCAGCCTGATAGGGGTGGTTTGGGAGTACAGTACTTTATTTCAGCGGTGTATTTTTCTTGTTTTGTTTTGCAGAAGGAACACTGATCCTACCTTTGGTTTGTTTGTTTGTTTGTATTTTCCCCTCCAGAAAGCCCATTGCTGACCCTGCTACTGTGATACCGCTGTTTTGCAAAGCTGGAGTTGACACGCATGTAGGGGCGGGGGTTGTAACTCTGGCAATTTGTCCTTCCCAATTAGATGTGACTGTTCTGCTAGCTTTCCCTTCTTTATTCCTTTCATTTAGTTCATTGTGGGAGTTGGCTTGGGTTTTTTTTTCCTTTTGGTTTCTTGTTTTGATCCTGGAAGGTTAGCTGTGCAATTTGGTTTCTTCTGTGCCAACCAACTTTAGTGGCAGAGCTCTTAAAAAAATTAAAAGCTATGTCCCTCCATCCTGTCTTGCACCTTCTCTCTACGCCACTGCTTCCATTTAAGCAAAGTTTACAGAATTGCTCCACCCATTTGGACACCAGGAAAGGAATAACCTCATTTCCACCAGGTCCTTCGTTCCAGTCGAAACAACGCTAATTGAAACTGTAGTCCAATTTCTATTAAGACAGATGGTCTCTCTCTGAAATCAGGTTTGTTTCTGATTTCATCCTTTCTCTTGTTTTCTTTCAAAAAAAACCCCCAAAACAAAAAGCAAACGCACAAAAAACAACTCAAAGCCAAACCATTTTTAAGAGCTCTGAATAAAAATGCTTTGCCAATGGGGAATGGGTGGAGATGACTCTGATTTTCTCTTGTGCCCGGCAGCGAAAGGGTTAATGCCTGCTTTCCTCTTTGGTATCTGTTAGTTGCAGCCCATGTTGTGATCAGTCCATGTCCATGTGTGTTTTGTTCCCAAATTTAATACTGGTTAATTAACAAGCAATAAGTGAGCCTTAACAATGACAGTTGTTTCCGATCTTCCTCAGGACACCCGACCTGCCTGCAGTTCACCACAAACATGACTGAGGCTGTTAAAACCTATCAGTGGCAATGCATTGAGTGCAAATCCTGCAGCCTTTGTGGGACCTCTGAGAACGATGTGAGTTCATTTATCTTTTCATGCAAATAAGCATCTGCAATCTGCTCTCATGCCCATCCTTGAGGAGCACGTGGCAATGGTGTGGGTCATTGTTTTACTGCTACTTCCATACATCTCCAAGGAAGAGCCACCCCTAAGAGCAGAGATGGGCTTCTCCCAAGTGTCCCCATTCAGCCATTGGTCTGAATTTACCACAGGTATCATATAGGGTCACTTAAGGTGGCGATACTTGTAGTTTGTATGCTTATTCAATAGAAGTTAACTGGGTGTCATAAACTCTTGTTGCAGGGCATTTCAAGAGAGTATTATTTTCAATATGGTAGTCAGAAGTAGATGTGAATATGTGATAACCCAAGTATGTTTCTTCTGTCCCTGATTTTCCTTACTTTCTTGGCATGATTTTTTTACATTAAGTAAACATGAAAGCATTTGAACTGGGATGGTTAGGCCTCACCTAATTACCTATTCCAGTGATTTCTAAACTATGATCCAGAGCCTGCAGCTGAGCAATGTCTCTCTGTGGGGTTTTCAGTTAAAATCTGATGCTAAGGGTCCTTCATGGCCTGTGAGAAACTGGGAGAACTAACAGTGCCTGGAGAACTTTGGAGGACATTAGCTAACACCACATTCCTTACAGCAGAATACATTTGAAGCCTGAGATATTTTTTTTGCTTTTGCAATAAATAAGGAAATCTGAAGCCAGGGAGCTGTTCTGCCTTAAGAATAATGGCATACTTCAGAGCAGATTTTTTCACCCAAAATATATGAAAGAGCTGCAGACCACATGGTGTGGTCATGTTATTCCCATCTGTTTCACAAAAAATTTACTCAGCTGAGTTTTGGAGAACTGTCTAAGTAAAAGTTTTTTTCTGAAGGGATGAGATCCAGCACATGGTCACCCTGGAGCCCAGCAAAGCCTGTCCTCTTAGGACAGCTTATACCTGGCCTAACAGCTCTTTTGCTCCCGCATCATGAGGCCACCGTGGAAGCAAGTCCTCCACTTCTCATAGTGATTTTCTAGTTAGAAACTGAGCTGCCTTTGTGATAAGAAGGGCTTTCTGCAGCTTCTCAGAAATATGGTGGTTGACCATGGAATCACAAATGTGATGCTTGTAGCCTTTTACATTCCCAACAGTCTCTTAGTCTGTGTTGCAGGTCTGCATTCCTAGCTGAGCACTGCTGGTTACCATTCTTATGTTTTCATCTTGACAACAGACTAATTTACATAATTTTATCTCTTCTCCTCTCTTTCTCTTCCTGTTTCCCTACTGTCTCTTCAACAAACCTGCCTCAGGACCAGCTGCTCTTCTGTGATGACTGTGACCGTGGCTATCACATGTATTGCTTGAATCCACCAGTCTTTGAGCCCCCAGAAGGTAACATATCTTGAAAGTCTGCTTTGAAAATCACAATTAAGTCCTTGTGGAGAAGGGAAAAATTTCAGAAAGGTGATCTAGGCCATGCAGGGTTAAGGAAGCAGTAGCAAAGCAGAGACAAGTAGCACTGGAAAGAAAGAAAATTAAGATGTGAAGATCTAGTGTGGTCTGTGATATCCTATTCAGTCTTGCCTGGTCTCTACCTCCTCTTCCAGGATATGACTCTTTTGTGGGTCATGGGTACCTTGGGATGTCCCACATGTCATTGGTCACCTCAATTTAGTCAACTGAATTGAGGTCCTGTGACTCAGGACTCAATTGTGACTTTGGACTTCCTAAGAAGACGAAGTCCCAGAGAGAAAGCCCCAGACAGGGAGGTCCTCTCTGAAGCACCTGAGAGTCTGTTGTCAGGAGACTGGGTTAAGAGGAATTACTTTTCTTGCACTATGATCCGTTTCTGCCTTGGCAGAGTGAGAATTTTACGTATTACGTTTGGTATGTAGTTATGACCTCTGCAGGGAGTTCAATCTGACTATAGTACAACTGGTTGTAGTTTGTCACTTGGCTGTGGAGCAGAGGAATTAGTCTCCTAACATTATAGATCCTCTGGCTAAAATCTGCAGAGAGCAGTAGAATTGGAGAAGGAGATAAGTGAGTGTGAATGACTGCAGTTTACATGAAGGGCAAGACAAGAATAATTACAAATTGATCATGGATTCAGGAGCTAATATTTGTAACTTTGGTAAAAAGGAAGCTAAATCAGGAGAGGAAATTTTGAAATGAAGCTAATAATAAGCTAAAGGTTTCTATTCCACTGGGAAGTGGTGTATTGAATGCGCACCCCAGCAGCATTGTAGTTTATGCAGAAAGCTTATGGACACAACACCAAGGGAAGCAGAGACCACTTCACAAAAATACAGGCAATTCCAGTATTAGGAATACCTGATATCCTATTCAAGCCAATCTTGACATAAACTCTGAGTGCCTGGATTTGCCGTCATTCCTATAAGAAGGATTTCTTCATTTGCAGGTAGCTGGAGTTGTCATTTGTGCCAGGAGCTGCTCCGAGAGAGAGCATCAGCTTTTGGCTACCAGGCCTGAGGAGCTCCAGCAGTCAAAGAAACACTTTGCTCCTGGTGTTGCCATACCAGCACACGATTCCCATCCAGAACACAAAGACACAACCCACACCAAAATGAACGGACACTCAAATACAGGAAGAGGTACCTGTGGTATTCACTGTCACTAAGGCCATACCTCCTGGGCTCTACTAGAAGGATTGTGTATTCTTCCGATGCTCTGGATGAAATTTCTTCACTGCTATGCATGGTTGCTGCTTGCCATTAACAGGCTCACATACATTACAGAAGGGGGAGGGTTGTTATATCAACAGGGATAAGTCAATTTTGTGTGGCCTTGTGCTTTCTCTTTAGTCTTTTTGTAAAAGCAAAAGTAGTTAGATATCTCCCAAGGAATTATTGGTGAGTACTTTAGCTAGGAGCAGCACCAGATGCTTCTTTTCACAGGCTTGACTGGAAATCTCTTTATGGCAACCACTCTGTATATGAATGGGTGTTTATGAGGGGTGCTCTGAGACTTGCAATTAGTTCAATACTTCCCAGTTCATGAACAGCACATGTTCACCGATCAAAACTTTTTTGGGGTGACACTTTCTCCATTGGATCAAATGCCCTGATTTGGCAGATCTTTAGAAACTTGTCTTTAGTGTATCTGAAGGAAGAGCAGCACTGGTATGTATGCACATAGATGCTTAGAAAAGCCTACCGTCTTTGGTATTTCAGGATATTCAGGCACACTGTCCCACTGCAATGCCAGCATGCAGTCCAGCCTCATAATTTTTTTTAATTCAGAAAATTCCAAATGGTTATGTATGTAACTGACTTTCCGTTTAGCTCAGAAAATTGAACAAAAGAGAAAATGTCATCTTAAGTTGATCATAGAAAGTAAAATTGTCAATTTTCTGAGCAATCTAAAGTAAGCCGCAAAAAGGAACAACTTTGCTTTAGGGTCAAATGAGGTGCTTTTGATTAATTTTTTGAAATTTCTAAGCTAAAATGTTCTGCAACTTAAAATTTCATCTTCTTCTGGGAATTGCCTAATCAGGATTTCCAGCATTTCCAAAGTGTTACAGTTTTTTGTCAAAGTCATTAACAAGGTCTAGCTGAATTTCCAAATAATTTTGCCCCCAAATTCTCTACAACTGCATTTTTTGGCAAATGAGATAATTTGTCAAAAAAACCTTCCCCAGCTCTAAAGGAAAGACTAATTTATTGAATCTAATATGAAAAGAAGGATTTTCATAATGATTTTAAAATTTAAATAGAAATAGTTCTACTTTATTTAAACAAACCCCTGCATGTGAAATGAAGAAACATTAAGTAAGTAAGAGCATCATTCGAAAAAAGTTTATTGCAGTTAAGTCTCTTTGAATAATTTAAAACATCACTAGGATGATGAGTACATCAATAACTTCTACAAGATGCATCTTTAAAGTTAAAAACCTGCCACTTCTTCAACTGCCAAGTAGCCCAGAATAACCATTTTCTTGGGTATGATGTATATTACTTTCTATGCATAGATTTAAGTGGGTTTATAATATAAATTTATGAGAGTCCCAAGCAGCATGTGACTCATGTTGCTTGTACAAGTAGGTAAGGACACTGAAGATTATATCTGGCATGTTTATTTTGGTTGAAACTTTTCTGCAAAATTAAATGTCCCCGAACACTTGAAAAACATTGTGAAAGAATACTGGTAAGCTATTTTTTATTTCCTTCTCCTGCTAATTACATTTAGTTAGAATGAGCTATACTGACCTAATGCACTTTCCCTCATTATTTAGATAGTTTCTTCCCCTTTTGTTTTTTGTTCAAAAGTGGCTGTTGTCAGCTGCTGGATTCTCCTGCCTACTGTTGCAGCCTCTTCTCAGGCTGCAGCATTAGTATTTTAACCTGTTAAAAAAAGATTTAGGAATTATTTATCCTAATTGTATTGGACCACATCTCTCTTGGAGCAACTGCACTTGCTACCTGCAAAATTCATTCAATATCTTAGGCTTTCCATGTGACAGCTCCTCAGATGAGCTGAGAGCACAAAGAAATGTGAGCATCAGGTATAGGGAGAGCAAAGTGGAAGCTCATGCACCTGCATTAGGTGTCTGGTGCCTGTTGGGACAAAGCTCCAGAACAAATGTAAAATAAAACGTCTTCCTTCCAGCCTGGAACTGCCCTGGCCCTGGTGAGCACTTGGAGAACACAGCTCATCTGCATGAGCATTTAGACCCATCTGTTGGTGTGGTTGAACCTGCTGACCTGGTACTTTGGGACCATCACATGGCTCAGTCTTACACAAAGTCTTGTTACTGCTGTGGCCAGGAGTGCAAATATGTATTCACCAGAGACATCACTGAGCTCTCTCACAGAAAATGGATGTTTTGGCAAGAGTGACTGGAGCTAAGTGTGCGTACTGGAGGAAAGTTTTATGGTGGTGCTGGCAGTGGGAGCAGCAGATGTGGATTAGTGTTTGGGCTGGTCCTCAGCCTAAGTCCTGCTGGGCTTAGTTCCATCATAAAAATGGCCATCACCTTCCAGTTTCCCGGTATTTGCATTGACTTTGGGGGAGGAGTAGGACAATGTTTGCATTCTCAAATGAAGAGGAAAATGCATGTTGTTTTAGCCTGTGTATTAAGCAGACAGTGGTGGCTCATCATGCAAGTCTCAGGTAGCCTAGTTGGTGGGAGTGGCTGGTGCAAAATTTCAGTGGTCTCCATCCTTGTGATGGAGACATTGCTAAAGGAGCTGTGCTCTCTGCACACACCTGCTTTCTTATTTTGTGGTTTTGATCCATAGTTCTGACTGTTTTCTCCTCCCACAACCATTCTGCAGCAAAGACTATCTTTCATGTTCAGAAATACTCTTCAGTGGCCTTGCTGAAGTTTCATCACTAATGAGGTATGATGGAAGGAGAGATTGCTAGATCTTCAATGGCAAAACATTGTTTGCCATCTGAGATCAGTGTGACAGAGTACTTACCCACAAGTGGACCAGCTCAACTTTCCAGCTTTATGCTCTGTAGCCAGGCAGCTCCAGGTGAATTTGGCAGCAGATTAGATGCAAGCTCTCCCCTGCTGAGAACTTCCTCCAGCTACAGCCTCCCTACTTCACTAGCTGGGTCTAAGACAAGGGGCCGGAAAGGCCACTCAGTGTCATCTTTAGAGTGCATTCAGAGCCATATGTCTTGGTGCACTTTAGAAATACTAACTGATCCCCCAAGTGAACAATGCTGTACCAGCTTTACTGAGATGGGGAGAGGCCGTGGCACAGCCATGGGGATTTGGAAGAGGAGGAGTTTAGAAGCTCTGGTAACTGATTCCCTGTCATCTGCTATCCTGTTGAGGATAGTCTTCCTGCATGACTGCTGGGAGGAATGACCCGGGCAACACCATCCGCTGTCAGGCAAATGTTATAGCAGTGATCTGGTCTGGCCAGTAAACAATGTGAGGGCTCTGGCTCATTGTGCTGTTCTCTCTCTCTTGCTATGGCAAGGCCTGCAAGGTTGTTGGCAGCCCCTAGGGTGAACAAACTCTGGCATTTTTCAAAACTCTTCTGTGTGGGCAAGGCAAGTAATATTTTAGCACAAATCAGGGCAAACTACCATGAAAGATGGTAGATCCTGCATGCCTTGAAGTTTTCAAATCAAGAACAGACAGATTCCTAGATGTATTTCAATTAAATGCAATCTTAGTTAATCACAGGAATGTCTAACTGAAAAAGGCTTGTGTTATAGAGGAAGTCAGGCTGGATGATGTAATTGTTCTTCCTGGTCTTATTATGAAAACAGATGTTTACTGTGTGAGAGGACATATTTAAATAAAAGCAGTGTCTGCATAATGGCCTTGAAGTATGTTAGTTAAGCATATTAACCTGATTCTTCTAATTTTTAACTCATTTTGAATAACCTAAAAAAGGTCACTGACAGAAAATCGTCTTTACTGATGCAGTAAATTGCACATTACCTCCTTCATGCCCACAATGGCAACTACTTTGGTGTTAGCTACCTGAGGCTGTTCCAGAGACTGAACAATTCAGACTATATTGTGTGAAGCCATGGCTTGCTTCTTGCTCTCCCTCTATCACATTTGAGTGCTGTGTTGCCCAGTTTTCTGTCCATGGTGGGAAGACCATCTGGGGAGGGGATCACTTGCAGTGGCAGACTCAGAAACCAGAGGGGTGGAGAAATGGTCTCAAAAGGGGGAGCATCCAAGTGGTGCCACTGAGGAGGTGAACCGATGTTGCCATCACAGAGCCTCCCCTGTAGTCTGGACAAGGCAATACCTTTAAGAAACATGAGATGGGTCCTAATCTGCCTCCAAACCACATTTCCATAGCTGTGTCATTGCACTGAGTTTATGGCATTTCTGTAAATGTACCTCAGGCCAGTTCTCAAGCTAGGAAAGTCACCGTTAAGTGTGTTCTTTTGAAGCAAATGCTACTCTAAATAACTTTGAAATCATTATTTCTCATCTCCCTTTAAAAGGAGCATAGTAAATTCTGCCCCAAAGGAAGACTCTCCCGCACCATGCAGTGTTATGGGGCTGTTCCATGTTCTTTACACCTACAGCATGTGTTTTGACAGGGGTCATTTGGGAGGTGAGAGTGGATGGAGGTAGAAAGGAATATTAATTAAGCTTGTCACTGCCAGAGGGATCGCGTGCATTGTGGGCAAGAAAATTCCAGGTAGGGCTTGGTATGATTTTTCTGTGTGGAGTAAATTTATTTTTAAAAAATGTGCTTTTGAGAGAACCGTAAATTATTCACATATCCAAGTCCAATCTGGTAAATTAGTTCTACAAAAAATACGGGGGAAATATTGGAAGAGTTGAAAATGATTGTTTCAATCTTTTTAGAATTAATCATTTCCATATTTGAATTTTAAAGTTAATCTAATTTATATTGGGAAAAATCTTGCACCAGTCTGAAAGGGAAGAAAATGCAAATCTTATGGAGGACATGATTAAAAGATGGATTGTCTAGTCAATTTTGTTACGGGAGGCTGTGGGCTGCTCATGAGGAGGTCCCCTGACATTTTAACAGTTGACCAGTTCTCCGTTTCTGTGAAAATAAGTTCTGCGGAGAGGAACAGGCAGACAGGACAGGAAAACCCTCTTTAACCAGTCTAGGTTCATTATGATCCTAGCCTCTCATACTTTTGCATGATATACTGCATGACAGGACAGGGTAATAGTATGCAGCTGAGCAGGGTGACCACTGCTGCAGGCGGGTTCTGGCCTAGCCCCCACGACAAGAGGTGTCTGTAAAAACAGCCTGTGGCCAAACAGGCAGAGGTGCTCACATACTCATTTTCCAACTCAGACCTCAGCTAACAACAGCTGACCTGAATGGGAGACAACCTGTACAGCAATGCTGTGGGTTGTGCCGCTGCCTGCTGACATGGACAGTCAGAGCTGCTCTGACTGGGAGCAGGACATCGCACTCCACCTAAGCGGAGTCATAAAGCACGAGGTTTATTTCTGCTTACAACAGGGATCGCAGCACTGCTGTGGGCAGGTGCTCAAATCTATGGCTCGCTTCTGGAGAAAAGGCAGGATGGCAATTCTTAGCTGTTTTTGCAAAGCACTTGGAGCCTACCAACAGTGTGTGAGTCCTGAGTGCTGCTGTTTACCACAGCGCTGCAGACCCACGCTGCACTGGCAGAGTAAGAAGAACCAGCTCTCCTAGACTGCTCCTTACACCATTTATTATTACTGCCTGGGAGATCGGAACAGGTGACAAGCCAGGAGTTTAATGCCGAAGGTCGAAGATCCTGAAGAAGAAACCAAAAAAGTTTAGTTATTGTGGCTGGGCTTCTCCTCTGGTAAAAGAGGGCAGGATCTGGGACTGGCAGGCAGCCAAATCCATCTTCAGTGATGATATAATTGCCAGCAATGACCTCCAGCCCCAGTGGTAATTAAATGGCTTTTTGGGGCAGGCATCAAAGCTAGTCTGGTTTATATAAGATAAACTCAGGTTTGCTGAAGGGGAAAGGAAAGGAGGTGGGGTGTGCCAGGTTTGAAGAGGACTAATTTACAAGTGCAGCTGCCCAGCCCACTCCCTGTCATGTCCCCATGGCAGAGTAGCATCTCCATTCTATCAGTCCTGGTGCCATCATTTGAGGCCAAAGCATCAAGTCTCTGGTCCTGGGAGTAGTTTTGCAGAGAGAGTGCTGGCAGTGTCCCAGCTCTGTCGCTGGTGATGCTGGCTGGGGCACAAGGTCTCACTGCACTGCAGACAAGGGTGAGAGTGACTGACATTCTCAGGCAGTATTCCCAGCCCTTGGGGTTAGTGGTTGTCTTGAAGAAACCAGGCTACAGGATGTGCAAGCACAATTTTGCTGTCCTGATGGCCAGGCCTTAGCAGGGTAGCAGAGAGGTGTGTCACTGTCCTGTTTCTCCAGTTGCACCACTGGGGTATTTGGCTAGCCCCATCATCACTGTGCATTGAGGCACTTAACTGAGGAAGGAAGGTAAAGAACAGCAAGTACTTCTGGGGGACAGAAGGCTTTTTAGGGTTTACCCTCTTATTGTATGCAAGTGAGAATGCCAGGCAATTTGCAGCTGGGGAATCAAGCCAATAGCTTATTAATATTTCCTGTGCATTTCTGCCACACTGGATGAAAATGTAAAGTATTAGTGCATTTAGAATATATGTCGTACGGTTGTTTTGAAATGAGGAAACTAATATTTTCAGATCAGCCTACTGCCCTTTGTGTGCATGAAGTTAACAATAGAACACTTCATACCTGAAAACTGCTGATTTTTCAGGTATTGATATTTTCTTTCAGACTGTTGTCAGTCTAGTCATCCATCTGATTCAGTTCATTGTAACAAACTATAGGTTTCACCTCCACAGTGACTCAGGAAATATTTTATTTCTTCCTACTTTTCAGGAGCTAGGGAAAGAGAAGGGCAGGTTTTATTCTTTGTGTTCTGCAAGACTGATAAAGGATGATACATTCATTTCATGTTCATCTCCTTTCCATGTCTTGAATGATTGAATTGCTTGGCTGGGAAAGCATTCCTGTCTGTAGCAGTCTGAAGGGTCTTTGCTAGCATTGTCTCACCTGTGTATGAGAAAGCACAGTCCAACATTTTGTCCACTTGAATAGGACTCTTCCTGCTATTGTCATATAAAACTTTGAAACTTCTAAGTCTCATCAAGGAACCTTGTACCTACAGTTCTGAAAATCAAGATAAGGATTTCCCTTTTATTTCTCCAGATTTTCTGCCTGGAAGGCCAAACCCTCTGCCACATATGAACTCTGGTAGAACACAGATCTGTTTCCAGCCTTGACATCCGCTGCTACTGGACAAAGGACTGCATTTTGATGTTCACTATGCACTACCAGTGCAAAATTTGCCAGCAACACTAAAAGAGAAGTATCTGCTGAAAATCAAAGGACAAAACACAAATATTATGCCTAACATACTCTTCCTTCATAGCTCTCCTAGGAGTAAAACACTGGAGATGTGCCCCTGCATCCTTTTGGGAAGGCTATAGCAACTGCGTGAGGAATTTCCAAGTGTCATCTCCTTTGAGCTTTATTACAGAACATCTTTCCTTGTTTATTTCATTTTTTCTTTTCTTACGATATTTCAGAGACAGTATGTACTAAAACTGATTTGAAAGATCTAGAGGAATTCAGAAATAGAGACAAGTCCAAATCAAACCATCAGGTTTTATCTCTCCCTTGGATGTGTACAACAAACCTTTGATCATTGCAGGGAATCAAGCTCATGTGTTTATTTAATCCCAGCTCCACATTAAGGTCATACAATAGTTCATATAGACCTTTTAATTTTAAAATGTTCTTTAAAAAGAAAAACAAACCAGGGAGAAACGTTTCCTCTTTTCCGTGATGGCTTTCCATTTTTTGTGCTGCAGCAGAGATCAGCAGTCCTGTTTACTTAGACATTCTTCCATCACTGCAGCCTGGATCAGAAGTGATGGGGATAGACCTGGAGATAATTTATTTCATTGAATTTCAGATGAAAAGAGAAGCTCAAGAGCATTTAAGTATATTATCATCTGTGCTAGACAGTCCAATTGCCTAAGAACCAGGAGCTTGTGTACATGTTAATGTATCAGTTCACCTTTTCTTCATTTGCCATTTCAGACTGAATGTGCCACCAGTGTACCCTTTTTTTTTTTCACTAGAAGTGGTGGCAAAGAAAACATAAACACTTAAAACTGGGGTGAGGAAGACTGAGTTATCACCTTTGCTGTTGATCTTTTATTTGACTTTGGGACAACATTGTCCTCATTATTCAAAAGGAAAATTGAAGGAAGATAAATCTGTGACACCATAGCAGTTCTCTCAGATAAAAGCTCTGTTGTCATCAACTTTTAAGTGCATTTTAAAATGCTGAATAATGATCTCAAAATAGTGGCATTCCCATTAATACATTGGCAGAGCCTTACCTTGTGATGCTATAGTATAGATTTTTAATTAGAAGACTTAAGTTATATATACAAATATATATATTTGTGTATCATATTGTTATTTACCATAAACTTTAATCTAGAATAGCTCTAGAATCCTATAATAAGTGTTACTCACCTTGAAGGAGAAGAAGGAGGAAGGAGAAAATCCTAATTGTTTTGAAAAGGTGTGTTAGCATTCTAACATAATAAGGCAAAACATTATCCCTTATAACTTAATCTCAATCCTATTTGAAGCATGACTTATCAGCACATGAAAGAGTACCAATACTTTAAATGGTGAGACTGATTCTCAGCTGCTCTCAGTCTACATTCCTCCATTGACTTTAAGTCAAGAGGTTGGCCTGGTATCCTAAAGAGGCCCAGGCTAAGTAGTCTTAGACTTTAGTCTTTATTAAAAGTCTTAGACTTTAGTATTTATTAAAGTGCTTAATAGTTGAGCACAACCAACACATGTAATAAAATAGTTATTTCTTTCCCAGATGAGTTTGGTCTATTTGTGCTCTGTTCTGGCTCAGTCTGGTTCTGGTGATGCCATGTCACAGTTTCCAAAAGAAAGTGAGAATTCTCAGCAAAAGATAATGATGGAGCACTCAGCAACCAGGGAAAATTTCTCTCTGACTTCATGGAGTTTGAGCTTGACTCAGCAGTTTTCAGTGTATTACCTTCTGATTTTCTGTAAACAGCCCCTTACTGCTATATCAGGAAGCAGTGGACAGCAGCACATTTTCCTCTTCTGTATCAGACCTCACCTCGGTCAGCTCCAACCTCCCCTCTCTTACCCCTTTCTAATCAGTTCTAGTCTTTTTGATCTCTCTGTCTCTTCATGTGGAAATCCGTTCCAGTCTCTCTCATTTTTAGCATCTCTCCCTGGAGTCAGTCCTCCTCAGCATCATTTGCTTTGAGACTTGCACCCAGGATACGCCATAGGTTTACCGAGTTGTGTTTAAATCCTCTAAGTTTTAACTCTCTCCCGATGATATGTCCTGACTGTATGTCTTTGCTTTTTAGCTATCTTGTGAGTGAGCCCATCATCACCTCTGGGATATTATTCCTTTGTGGTTACAGCTCATCTCAAAGGAACCAGTGTTACAGCCAAGTGAAGCCATGCAGCCTTGCTGCCGGCACACACTCTCCCTCCTTTCCCCAGTGCTCCAGCTGGGGATGTGGTCAGGCTGCCGGCACATGAGATCACATCCAGCAGGGCTACTCTCTGGAAGCCAAAGTGTTGCTTAGTAACCCACTCATGGAAGTACCAGAAGCATTTTTCAATCTGTCACATTGGCAAAAAACACTGGCTTCTTGATTTAGAGGCATTCTGCTGTGCATGGCAGGGCCGTGCTCCATTATCTTGCATCCAGCACAATCTGCAAGTGAGGAAATGAACCTCCCATTTAATGGAGGTGCTGGGAGAAAATGGGGGTGTGAGGCACAGAAAATATTTGTCTAAGATCGTATGCGAAGCTTTTAGCTGGTTCTCCTGGCATCCAGTCTTCATCTTAACTCCCTTCCCGTGGGAGATATTCCCTGCTTATGAAAGTGCACTCCAGGGTCCTATAGCAATCGGCCAAACAGGACCCTGCAGCACCTTCATCTATTATGAGACACTACTGCAATAAAACATGGTGTGTCATACAGAAACTGGATGAGGTATTGCAATATTTATGTTGTAAGCCTCAGTGTCATGGACAATTGCTACAAAATAATGTATGTCTTTTTTTAATGCAGTGGAGTCACAGCAGCTTCACATGAGCACACTGAATACACACCATCTGTGACTGCATGATTTCCTCAGTTATTTTCAAATTATTCTGTTACTGAAACTTATATGAAAAACATCCTCTCATTTAAAAATAGACTGTAAAGACTTTTAGGTTATCCCCCCTTTTAAGAATAATTCAATTTGGGATCAAAACATCCAAGAACTGTGTTCTGACTTCAGAAGCTTCCTCCTTTAGCTGGCACTGGTTTACCACTAAAAATGGCCTCAAAAAGTAACTTGAGGGCTTTTATTTGAAGTAACTTATTGGTTTTGCTATCACATCTCTTCAGTTTGGAAATGAAAAGGCATTTTAAACAATGTCTAGCTTTGAGCCCTGGGGTCCAACAGGGCTCTTCCCATCTTGTCATCAGAGACAGTAGAACCATAGTCTGTGTCCAGCCACAGTATCATCCATTTCTGTGGCTTGCCTCCTGTTGACAGATTGTGTCCTGGAAGGCCTTTGCAAATAATTGAAGGACTTTTATAAGGGTCATGGAAGGTCCAGAGTGGTCTTAAGACAAGGCTGTTAGACAAGTGTACCTGAGAGGCTCTTTTAGTCTTCAGAGAGTCTCTTACCTGGGATGATGCTCAGTGTCACGGTGATGAAATCGTTAAAGCTTGTTTCTTGTGTAAAACCCTTTTAGTGAAATGCACAATAGTTGCGTGCTAAAGCTTGGCTCAGCATAAAGACGAAAAAACATCCCATAACACGAGAAGCTCCTGACTTGATTTCTGAGAACTTTCTGAGGAACTGAGTACATTCCTGTGGTCTATTTCTAGTCTAATAGATAAATTTGGGTATGGGATAAAGAGTCTCCCAAATTTACTGTTTTTACTTATATTTTTATTTAAGAAATACAGAAAGTGATCAAAAAATGTTCCTGATGACTGGCCAGCATAAGAGCAATTGATCACCTGCTGTGGATCGCAGTACAGAAGTGTCTACATCACAGAAATATCCAGAATGAGCTGGTTTCTCTAGGGGGCAGGGAGTATTTTTGGCAGGGAAGCAAAGACTGGGAAGGCCTGATCTACATTTTTAATTCTTGGAACTGGCTGTCCCAGCTCAGAACTGATGGAAATCTTACCATTGTGATGCTTTGCTCTGTGAAAAGAGGATTCAGAGAAGCACTAAGTGTACAATGCATTATTTGTTTTAAAAGTATCAGGGTATCTATTTCCAGTCTTCTAATACACTAACCTTGAAGTTTATTCGTAATTAAATAGTCTAGTCTTACCAGTTAGGCATTGAAACAAAAGAATCATTGTTATAAAGACAGTGGACTAGGGAAGAGCAGCTGGACTGGGTAACTTCTAGACAATACTGAGAAAGCACATCCACTCCCTGCATTCACGGGGGAAAGAGTAGCTTTTTCTTTGCACGTACTGCACATTCTGCATCATAAAATTATTTGAGGTGAGAGTCATTTTAGTCATTTTAGACCTAAAAGGAGGGGACATTCTACTAGCATTAATTCTTGTTGCTTAGTTTGTGGGGTTTCTATCTGCTCATTTACTCATAGCCTTCTTTTCAACATTTGAGGATGCTCCAGGTTATGTCTGTCTCAACTAGCTGGGATATGCCTGCCTTATGGAAACAACAAAATATGGGTTGGAAGCTGCCCCACTTCCTGGCTGTACATACCCCTACCTACACATGATATAATGTATGTTGAGTGACTGCATCGTAGTTGCTTTTGTAATGTATTAACTGTGGTGTCAAGATAATGTGGTTGGAAAAAAACATAAGTACTTACAAATTAACATGAATAGAAAAATGAAAGTCACTGAAAAGGCAATACAGCTGAAGAATTCTTACTGTGAGCCACCACCATGTTTTCTACAACATGCCAACTTCTGCATCCCCTAAATAGCCTTTTATACTCTTTGCAGCAGAAGTGAACCTGACTTTTGTGTCAGTACTCTGAGCTGGAGCCATCGGTGTTCAGTCTTTTCATAATGTGCTGATGAATCAAAGAGCTAACCTTATCATGGGTTTGCAAACTTCTGTACCTTCCCACCAAAATAATCCAATGCCAGTCAGTGTCTTGGTTTAATGACAATATATTCAGGAGGTGAGACCTCCAATGAGATGAACTCTCCTCTGTTGTTTATTTCCCTGCCCCAACTCCCACTATAGACAAGGTAAAAATTATGAGGAGCCTGAATGGCAAAAATTATGAGGAGCCCCTTCCCCCCTAGGTTAAAACAAAACCTGGAAGGATATTTCATCCAAAGGAAAATCCTATGTTGCTGAGACAATGACATGGGTTCTGACATAGCAAACCATGTGGAGTGACAATAGCGGGGCTAGGCTGACCCGGCGCAGTGCTGGGGCTGGGCTGGCTTGGTCTGATGCGAAACACGGCTACGGCTGAGGTGGCAAATGCCGCAGCTGAGGCAGGGCAGTCCCTGGGAAAAGGCTCCAAGAGTCTGCTCACTTCAGCGAGCAAAAAAAAAAACAAGTAGAAAGGGAAAGAATTCTGGTCTGTACCTGCCTTTATCTCCTGTCTCCCAAGTTCCTGGGATGCTTCACTTCAGGAATCCACCTTTCTGGCAGGTCCCAAGAGGCTAGGGGCAGTCTTCCCTGATCCAGCTCAGATGGGAGCGGTATGAAAAAATTCACTAAAAATACTTCCCATTTAACTAAAACTACAATTGTCAGTGAATAGTCTGGAGGAGTGTGCCATTGAGATGTTGATCTGCAGGGCAATAGTGCTAAGGATGTTTTGTATTGATGCTTGTGAGAAAAGCCCAGCAATCTCAGATGAACCCTAATGTCTATTGGTCAAATGGTAAGTACAGAGGCAAGCCAAAACAACCAAGTGAGGGGGAAAGAATAAGGGCTCCTGTCTGAAGAAAACCCTAGATACCACTCACTTCAGAGGAAAAACCTTCTGAATCCTGGGTGGCACATAATTAGGCTCACAAGGCTTGAGAGACACATTTCTGTAGTGTGTTTGTCACTGTGTCTTTGGTTTTGTAAATGTACCAGAATAGGAGAAAAATGCCTGTCTTTCTTTCAAATCCCTTTTCAGCCATGTACACTACCTCCAGGTTGCCTGTTGCTACACCCTGTGAGGCCTTATTGGAGTTTACACTATGTTTCTTGGAAATCGTTTACTTTTGGTGGCCACAGACTAAGGTTAGAGGTTTGGGAACCGGTACATAATTGTAAGGACAGCTTCTTGTGTTATTTTTTTTTTCCCTTTCCCTCCTTTGTAAAGTGTGAACCTTTCTTTTGAACTCTGAAGTGACTGTATTGTTACAATGTGTGTATGTAGAGATTTGTTTTGACATGGCTTGTGTGGAGGACCTTTGCTCTTCTTATCTCACATTCAGTTTTAATAAGTGCTTGATAGCTTTGCCAGCCTTTTGTGGGGGAGGAGAGGTGACAAGGTGGCTTCAAAACTTCGCTTTTTTTGAGGGAAATTTGCCCAGCTTTACATAGAGCATTATAAGAATCCAGGGTGCTCACAACTGTTCTTCAGTCATCCTGATCTGATTGCTTCCTGGAGAAAGAGATTGAAACCCTCAGAAAAAATATATTGCTTAATGCACTAACCAGCACCGACCAAGAAGGCCCATCAGTTTGTCATGCATGAAAACTTGCATGATGTTTCACCCCCATCTGAAGGTGTCTATTGAGCACAAAGTGAATCATGACAACTCACATTGCTCTGTAGATGCTAATGGAGCCACCATAGCTTGTACCAGCCAAGGATTAGCCCTTCCATGTTTTGGCGGTTAGGAAACCTGTGAGTGAAATCCTACAGGGGCTTGAGACAAGAGGGCAATGTGTGTTGGAAACCTCTCAATTCAAAGGAATTCTTTGGTATTCATACACATTTGCAAGAATGTATTCCAAGCATCTTGTACTGTTATTAGTAATTTGTAATGTAGTTTGTTAGCTGTGTTGACTACCTGCGTAGCTAATATTCTGTTGCAACTTAGAAAAAGTGTAAAACATTGCAAAAACCAGAAGTTTAGAACTTGTATGTACTTTTTTTTTTTTTTATATTAAAGCCACTTCAATTAAAAGTACAAGGAAAAATGTTCCTGTAGCCTTCATTGTGCCTTTGTATCTGTTTGGATAACAGATGTGTGGAAAGAGTTGGGAGTGCCCTCTTCCCAAGATCTTCCCTGTTTGCTTTGGTACTAACAAAAAGAGATGATAAAAATTTTGGGAAGAACTCTGGGTGTTAGAGTTTATTCAGCAAACAGAAGATGCCAGCAACCTATCCAAAAGCCATTAGAATCTTGCAGAGTCCCTTCGACTGAAGCCGAAGTGTCTGAGGGATTGCCAAGCCATCATTAAGTGTTGATTCACACCAATGTGAATCAACATTGGTGAGTATCTACAAAGAGGTTCTAACTGCGGAGCAGTTAATGAATGACTCCACTGTGTAATATGTTAGATTTCTTTTATTTTTATCACAAAGTACCTCAGAGGTCAGTGGCAGTCTGTTGATTTAAAAGTGGAGGAAAAACATCCACAGTCCAGGGTTATTTCAGGGGTACTGGTAAGTTGCAGGTTTGGGTACCAGAGGAAAACAGCAGCACATGGGCAACAAATGGTCTTCACGACACATCCCAGAAACTGTTTCTCTCTCCTCCCTCCCTCCCTGCCCCCCTCAATGTGCATATCCAAATACTTTTCTGGATCACATCACTGTGGAATCGGCATGCATAAACAGACATCTCTAAAGCGGCTTGTGATTTGGTGATCTCAGCCCAGCTCTTAGTAGCCAGATGCCCATAATATGAAAACAACCATCAAAACTGTCTCTTTTGCTGGCACTGTTTAATCAAAGGAACAATGGGAGAGAATGGCAGTCTTATTTCTACAAAGAGCCCTTCAATGTCAAATTTGCCATACAGTAGAGTAGCATTCACCTCTGTGGCACAGACCACAGCCATTCCAGAGAGGAACAAAAGCTCTCAGACAGCACGCAATTAATCCAGCATCTATTAAACCAAGCACGGGTAATTTTGAAGGAACGTAACAGATTTCTGCTTTAAATTATTCTAAGCACTATTTTTTTAACTCTAGATGGTATGCATAGCTCAAAGTACAAAACAGAAGGCTGTGTTTCTGGCAGCTGTTGTCTTCCCAGAAGCTGTTTTACATCCCTGGCATCTCATAATCCTGACACAAAAATCAAGTAAAACACAGCAGAGGAACAACATTAAAAAGCCTCTGGCTCTCCTGCTGCCCACTGCCTGCAGGTGCCCAGCACTGGAGCAAACAATTAATTCCATGACCAACAGAACTAATGAAATCTGGTTTCCTATGGATTTATGGCAATATTTTGCCTTAGTGCCAGAGACTTGAGGAGTTAGTCTTTCTGCTAATACTTTGAATCCAGATGAGGATTTTATCAGCTGTAGTCTCTGGGAAAGGCTTAATGAACTTTGAAGTGGTGATACATTTAGAAAACAAAAAGAAAGATATATTACATGCTACATATAGTGAGAGATGAAATTTAGTGGTAGGAATTTACAAGATAATTAGAATCACAGATCAAAACAAATATAGCTTGTCTGCTAAGTCCTAAAAATGGGACTGCTGCTTGTTTTATTTCTGTAATGTCTGTCCACGCTTTTTCCAGTGCAATGCTATTGAATAATAGTGTGATTGCCAGTTTGGTGGTTCCAATAAAAGACACAGAGTATTTGTAGCAGTAGAGCATAAAGGTGTAAATAAACAATATGTTTTTACAGGGGAGGAAAATTACCCAGAGATCTAAGATGAGACGTGTATTTTTTAATCTATTTACAAGTGATTTGGAAAAGAAGATGAAAAGTGAGGTGAGAAGTTTACTGAGAATTAAAAACTATTCTGGGCAGTGAAAACAAGAGTTGACTGTGAAGAGCTGCAGAAGTTTTTCATGATAATAAGAGATTGGGTTATAAAATGACAGCTGAAATCTACTGTTGATAAATGCACAGTAATGCTTCTGGGGAAAAAAACCACCCTAATTATACATGCATAATGAGGGGCTCTAAATCAGCCATCACTTCACGGGAAAATGATCTCAGCATTGTCACTAATTCTGAGAAAATGACAGGTCAAGGCTGAACAGGTGTCAAAAACACAAGTAAAATGTTAGGAATAACTGCAAGGGGAGGAAAAAAAGGAGAAACCAGAAAACATCATTATGTCACTGCATAAATCTGTGGTGTGGTCCTGTGCTGAGTAGTGTTTCCAGCTTCTCCATGCTCCCACCCTCCCATCCCCACAGCCCAGCAAGCATCAAAAAAGCCAGAGGAGGCATAGGGGCCAGAAGAGGCATAGGGAACAGCCAGAAAGCATTGGCCCTATGGGGCAGCTTCCAAGTGAGGAGAGAACAAATGTTCTGGGACTTACTGGCTGTCAAGGGAGATGGCAAATGAGAGACAGGTTTGCAGGTTTGCTAGGAGCCAGCTGCTGCAGAGAACAAGCTGCACTTCCAGCCCCAGACATCCCTAAGCATCTGGGTCCTTGCAGCTGAGCAGGCACAGCCCAGCTGTGAGGTGCATGCTTTATATGCACTTGGTACTCATATTTTGGCCCCCAAACTTCCTTTAGAGGTCATTGTTAGGGAAGGTTATTTCCAGCCAACCTCATTCTCACATATTGCTTTACTAGAGTTTATCCCTGATATGTTTTCCTACTCCTTTAATACATGTCCACAGTGGGATAAAATCTATTTGACACTTTAACTGTAGTCCTTCTTGAGCAAGTTCAGCTGTGCCTGTTCAGTACAGTTGATAAAAGGTTATCAAACAGCTTGTGGTTCAAGCCTTCACCTTTTCCTGATACAAACCCCATATGAAACAGCAAATCCAAACTCAGCACACCATAGCTAAACTCAGAGTGTGCAAACCTATCACCACATCAGTAGAGGCTGAACCTCCCATTCACTTCTGTGTGACCGGGATTTCATCTCTAAGTGTAGGAGCTTCCTAAGATACAACGGTGATTGCAAAGAGTGAAAGTGGCTTTTTGTCCCAGCAGAAATTGATTTAGTGGCTTTTTATTATATGCTCCTGAAATGCCCTAGTGCAACTATGTGTTCTGATACCACAATAGCTCACTGTTGCACAGCGTATGCTTTAGTGATTTGTTTACATACCCACCTTATTCCTTGGAAATAAGAATCCATAGAAATTGAAAGAGCCTTCTGTCCAAGGC